ATTAAAAATATTCAAGGTGTTAATAGTCTTTTAAAATGTAAATTCAAAGGAACTAATAGCATTTAAAAGGGAATCTTAGAGTTTTAACATGTGGTCCCCACTTTAAACACAAAATGCAAAAGCCAAAAACCAATAAAATACATCTTCCACTTATCCATCAAAACAATGGGTCATTCCAATTCATAGTGTTTGGTTGATCGGAATGGAAATCCCATTTCCATTATAGGTGGAGTGAGATTCTCCCGTATGGGAGAATGGCCATTCCCGATCCCCCTAGAGAATGCAATTCCTATCCCCTAATCGACCAAAGCTGTTGTATGAGCAATTATATTCAGCCTCCATACTAGCCACTGCCACCACCAACCCCATCTCCAACGAGGTAAGACCGCCACCAACTATCCTTCTTCCCGACCCCCCCTCCTCCTCCTCCTCCTCCTCCTCTTCTTCTTTCAAATCAAATGCCCCTCTTCTCACTACTACTCCTTTTTATTATTGATTGCAATATGGTACTCTGGTTCGAATGAACCCCTACTCTGATTCGTTTTATAGGTCCACTCTGCTCTAATTCATTTTATAGATCCACCCTACTTTGGTTCATTCTACAGATCGCTTTACTCTAGTGAGATAGAACTTCACTGGTATTCATGATAACCTCATATTTCCCATTGTAACACTGAACATTTCTGATGAAGGGAAATTTGGCCCGACTTCGCAATCGCCCAACACGTGGCAAAGGCAAGCAACTCGGGACAGTAGAGCGCCCGAAGCGAACATCGGAAGCAAGTCCAAGCTCACTACCGAGCTCGAACTCCAAACCGCTCTACTGAGTCCGAGCTCCCTGTTAAGGGTCCGAGCTCCCTAAATAAGAACCCGAGCTCCCAAACAGTCCGAGCTCCCTATTAAGAGGAAGCTCCCTACTGGGAGTCCGAGCTCCCTATTAAGAGCGAGCTCCCTACTGAGAACCCGAGCTCCCTGCAAGGAGCACGAACTATACTGGGCCCCAAGCCTCACAAAGCTGACCCGAGCTGGCCCATAGTAGCTCGGAACACTCCAAACCGAACTCAAGACACCTCGCTCGCCACTCCAACACTTCGCTTCCGAAACACCAGGCTGACCAAACGTACCCGACACCAAGGACGTCCGTATCCAAGGGCGATGCACCTGACTGATTTGAGATCTGACGCCTGACAGCTACATTTCAAACGGCTTCCTGCTACCGCCACCTGCAACCGTCGTCACTAGCCGCAGAGACGGCTCCGACAAAAGGAGCAGTGGCGGTTCTGTCCGACCAGAGGAAATGACATCCGAACTGGCAGGAGTTCAGAAGTAATCATGCCCGATCTGACGGAAGCTTGGAAGTGAGTGCGCGAGGTGGTTATAAAAGGCTCCTACCCCCCAGGAACGAGGTATGCTAACTTTTGCGCTATCTGGTCTATCTTGCCTTTGAAAGACTCTAACTTGAGCTTCGGAGCCCTTACGCCGGGTTCTCCCCGGAGCTTCTCTTCTCCTTCCATTTCAGGTCCCTGCCACTCAGTTCAGAGGCAAGATCGTTGACAGCTAAGATCGGCCGGATTGTGCATCATCAATTTCCATGCATTAGTGAGCTTAGAAAACTTGCTCTGTAATTTCTTAACTACTAGCATTCTAGCCCATAAAGAATGATTTAAATAGCCATTGATTAAACATTTCACTAAAAAACATTTCTTCATTAGATTGCAATGGCATGAAAATTTAGGCCTATTTAAAAATAAGAATTTCAAATCGAAACTCAAGATTCTCAAACCATCAGTCTCTTTTGCTTCTAAAAAGACATACTTGTAAAATAATTCTAGAATATTTTTGTTGCAATTCAGAAGTAAAATTGTAGCATTCCATTCAACAAAACAAGAATATACCATGGAATATGGATTAGATGCTATTAAAATTCCTTGGTTCCACTATAAGAAAGACAAACAAGTTTGTGTGGAAGATAATTATCTTCTATCTGTACAAATGTGTCATATATTTATAAACCCTGGCCATTCAAAGAAGAGAAAGTACAAAGTATAAACATCAATTTGTTCCGAGAGGATCCTTTTGGTACCTATTGACCCTAGAGTTTTTAAATGGGATTTTATGCACAACCAGATAGTATATGACATATAGGGGTTCAGATGGGTTACACATTCATTGTTACAATGCAGGCTACACTTCCAATCATGTTCTAACACGTCTAATTTTATGGAAAATGCGAAAAAGATTAGATAACCTCTATTACTCTCTATTTTTTTTTTTTAAACGATAAAAAAATTTATTAACTTTTTTCTTCCAACTTTCAACTTCAGCAACTTCCCGATGATGACAAATAAAGAAAAAAAAAACAAAATGAGACCATTTCCATTAAAATCCTTGTCTTCTCCATTAAAAAATGTGTTTTCATTGAAATCTTCCTCTTCCCACAAGCTACATTTCTCAATCTATATTTGCCTTTCGCATGTATTTGTTATGAACAACAAGGAACTTTTAGAACTCGAAAAACTATAAACAGAGAAAAACCACAACCAGAGAACATCTTATAATGTAAAGGAGAATACCCCACGTTTGCTTCTTTAATCCGTTTCTTCACATACATTATAAGAAAGCTATAGAGGGTAGGAGGTTGTAAGGGGGAATGCCCCTTGTAACTTTCTTTAAAACAAGTGGGAACACCCCACGTTTGTTCCTTTATTTATTTATCTTTTGATATAGCTTCTATTATTCATAATGTTAATCTCAAATGGTTTTGAAAACTTGGAGAGATTTATGGCAAAAGTAAGGCAATTGGCCAATCAGTTGAAACTTTTAAGGAAGTTGTACACTATATAGAAGTAGATGAGACAAAAAATGATAAAACACATATTAACAACAATGATGATGATTTAGGTGATGAGGGTCAATCAATTCCTCAACCTAACATTTCAACTTCTACAAGCACAAGTAGTTAAGGAGACAAAGAAGTTGTAGTGCAAATATAGATTAATTTGGAGGTACAATTCCATCTATTGTAAATATATTTTGGTCACTAATAGAGGATATTGGTATCCATTCTAAGACTATAGCTTCTGCAATGGCTTATAAGGATGCACGTGAAAAACAAATTGTTGATAAATAACATTGTGGATGAATTTTAGAAGATTGAGGGATTAACTAGTAGTGATGTATTTAGAGCGATTAATAGTTTGTTTACCGATGCAGCAAAGCTTAATGTGTTTTTATAACTTTCAAAAGTAATAAGGAGACAATATATGTTAGAGCTTTTCTATCCTAGTTTGGTGTATCTACCTATAACCACTAAGCGATATGCTATGCATATTATCATTACATTTTGATATATTGCGATATTTTTTAATAGATGGATTATATGGTGGATTTTGTTATATTTTGCCACTAGGTTATCTGAAGTACTATAGACTTTTTTATTACATGGATATATGGTGGACTTGGTTTTATTTTGCCATATGGACTTGGACATGATTTTATGTTTTTATGTTTTTGTTTTTTTATTGGACTTGAATTAGAAAGGTACAAGTGGATATACGATGAGTTATGATTTTGATTCCTGATTGAATCAAACAAGCGCCAAGAATAGATGATTCCGATTCCAATTCTAGTCTTATCCACGAACCAAACGAAACCTTAAGGAGAAGTTAGACCCAACATGCCATATTTTCAATTATCTATACCAATTCTTCCTATTAGGCCAAGTTTGGAAGTGCTTATTTGAAAAATAAGTACTAAATAAGTACTTATTCTAATAAGCACTTATGAGTGTTTAGTGAAAAAAGCACTTCTTTTAAATAGGGAAAGTATTTTTAAAATGACATGAAGGGCCAAGATAGGCTAGAAAGGAAATAAGCACTTATTCTAGGCTTATTTCATAAATGCAAATAAGTGTTTATTGGTGTGATTATGGCTCAAAATAAGTGTTTATTCAAATAACCACTTATTTTTAAGCACTCCCAAAATTAACTTTATTGGTAGGAACCACAGTAATTCCTCTCCAGTAAAAGTTAAAACCATGCAAAAATAAACTTTGTCAAGTGTTAGATGGTGTGCCAACCACTAACAGGTTGCCTTAATGTCTATAGAAGCCATTCAATTTCCCCACATATAACAAATAGAAAAAGGTAACGTCACCATAACTTGGATTGAGCCAAGATCAGCGCTAGACCATCATAATCTCATCTTGGAGAGATTTAGGCCCAGGCCCAAACGAAGTCTTTTGAGAAGCTGTCCAACTCCCCAATCAGTCAAAGTAGTTTCGAACCTTTTGTCCAACTCCCAATTTACAAAAAGAAGCTGTTCAGCACCCAATTTACAACCTTTTGTTAAATTTTTATATACATTTGGTGCAATTAATATGGGGTAATTTCACGTTCCTTAATCTATTTCATTTTTTTTCTAATCTAACGCACTAAAATTGTAAGGCTGTAGGGCATATGTTTGACACCAAACTGCAAAGTTCAACTTCAATCTGGTTGAAAATTTAACCAACTTCATGATTTGCTGATAAACCCTTCTTGATTTAAAACATTGTTCTGAATTAATCTAAAATCACAGACCAGACCCACCATGAACCAAATATTATGAGCTCACCTAGCTTTTTGGTTTTTAGACTAACTCTGAATCAGACCAAATGAATCAGGTTAATCAATTAGTTCTACCAATCAGATCCTAGGCCGGCCACAGCTTCACTAATAAAATAATTACCTTGTTCCAAACCCAACACCTATTGCATGGGAGTGGACGTGAAGTGTCAATAGCCAATCAACCATCTGACTAAGGGCCCGTTTGGGAGGATTGAATTGAAGATTTAGTTAAGCTGGTTCAATCAATTTAGGTTCTCTGGATTTTCATCAAACATAGCTTTTAGGCTGCCCATGTGCATAGCACCTCGGAAAGACAAAAGCCACTGTGCTTCAGCCCTCCCAAATGGGCACTAAGTTAAAGATTAAGAGTTTAAGACATAAGCTCGTTCAGTTGCTTTGAAGTGCTCTAGATAAGCTATTCAAATAAACTGTAAAGCAGACAGCCCTTACCAACAGCAAATCTGGGCTCTCTAGATTTTTCACCAACTATAGCGGTCCATGTGAAGCCCGTCTCGAAAGCAAGAACCTTCTGCGCTTTAGCCCTCCTAAATGGGCAATATTGGCATCATCTAGCTTTTGTTTTAAATTCCCCCATGAAGTCTAACATCTTCCTGTAAACCGAAGACTCGCAACTGATGCATTTGCACATGAATATAACATTTTCACCGAAAGTTTGCAGCTTTAGGTCTGACCGTGAATTGAGCAAATACTAGGCCAACGTCCAACCATAAAGATAAAAGGAGCATATTTACATGACTGCCGAACTCACAACTTGAAACGCGTCAATGCAGAGTTCCCATCAAGTCCTTTTGCAACGAAGTGTTTAGTATACTCTTGGACCGTGGTTTCCCTGTAGATGGGTGGATTTTCTTCTGACAACAGCTCCTTGATCGGCCCATACAACTTCCCTGATGCCTGATTTACAGGTGTGGTGAAAAAGCACGCCACCGATACTCTGGGGCCGATGCGGTTTGCGAGTACTCTGTGTTCTACGCTTTTAAATCTATCATTTGAGATAAGCTGCAGGTAGAAACCCAAAACAAATTGTCAATCTGAAACTCTGAACCAGCAAAAGCATCACACCCATTCTAATTTGGGTAATTTATTAGAAGAAAAGAAAAAGGCTTACCTGTAGAAGATCTCCAACATTGACAATCAAAGCTCCAGGCATCGGTAGAACATCGACCCACTGCTTTTCACGAAGGACTTGGAGGCCACCGATGTTGTCTTGTAGAAGCACAGTAAGGAAATCATTGTCTGCATGCTTACTGGTACCCATCGTCAATTCCGGCTCTGGGCATGATGGATAGTAGTGGGTCAGCAACGCATGCCCCTCGGCACACCCAATGTCTACCAGGTGTTCTGACTTAAGTGTCAAAGCCTCAGACAGTAATTCAAACAAGAAAATCCCTAATTTTTTCACTTGTTTGGAGTATTCCATCATTATATCTCTACAATTCAAGAACATACATAAAAGTATACCAAAATTAGTTCTGAAAGATCAACGATGTTATTATAATTAATTGCCATCTAGGCCACCTTATAATTATCACAAGATGATCCAAAAAAAAGGGGAAGCAAATAGAACCAAGAACATAGAGAAATGAAAATCATGATAAACTTTCTTTTCTATATATGAAGGTTCATTCAGATATCATCTGAAGTGAAGATGCTAAAATGGGCTAGGCCGACCCTGTTAGCCACCCCATCTGAAGTGAGGTGGGTGTCAGGAGAGCCTGATTCCACGGTTTTAGCCCAGCGCTATTCGAACGAGAGTAGCTTACTTTTCGGAATCAGATGTTTGTTTATCTCCGAGGCAAGATGATCAGAGGATAAGAGTTGTTAGATTCCTGGAAGGCTTAGTCTTGGATCTATTTGTTCTGGTTGTGGCCTCTCGTGGGAAGTTTGGGAGATTGTGATTGCTCTAGAGTCCTTCCGTTTCAGTTGATATAATCAGGAAAAAAAAAAACAAGAATTTCATCCTTGGCTGTATCAATTATATATGAAGGTTCATTTATCATTGCTTGATACGTACCAGGTCGTCTATTAATTTCTTTGTTCATGACATACCTACACACAGCAGGCAAATCTTCTGGCTGAGGAGGCTCCGGAGCCATGAAGCAATAGAAACTGTCCCTCCAATTAGCTGCTGGTGATTGATACAATTGATTATTGCTATTATACACCAGTCTGCGCCTCAAATCACGTGTATAGAACTTTTTCTTCACTTCAATATCCTGTTCGTAGAATCCACGCACCCCTTGAAGCATCTCATCCAAAACATTTACAGGGATCCCATGATTCACCACCTGAAAGAAGCCCCACATCTCTGATGCATTCCGAACTTCCTCGACAATCTCCCTGCGTCGAATAGCATCTTCGCCGATGCCATCTAGGTCTATGACCGGAATTGTGAAGTGGGTCTGATTGGAAACTGACCTACCATCATACTCTTCAGGTGGGTGGATGAATATACGAGGAACCTTCACCAGGCCAGAGTCTACTAGTCCTTTTACGCCAGCTTTAGAGTCATCGAATTCCATTAATTCTTTCATCCGATCATAATCCGATTTTATCAGTACTCCAGATGAATCTCCGCCATCGCCAGAGACCACCATCCTCTTCAATTTCTTTTTTGGGTTTAGAAGATCTGGACGAGGAGATGGAGGAAGTCAATCGCCCTTAGAAAGAAACAGAGCCTAGAGATCAAAAGAAAGTTGCTAAAAAGATGAAACAGACAGGCATGGAAGTTCTACCAAACTCACAGCATTGACGGACAATCTCAGGCCAGTATTGCTAAGTAGTCTTTTTGTATAGGAAAAATTCCTATCACTTATCATTTCCTGACTTTCAAATGTCTCTGAGTGTGTTTTTTTCAAAATGGCAAAATTACCCTTTTTATACTTATTGACCATTTCACCCTTTGCGTTTGAGTGTTCAAACAATCGAAGGGAAGAAGGAAAGGAAAACAAGAACACCGAAGTTCACCGTCAGTGATCTCACAGTAAGCTCGCCGTCAACGATCTCCCAAGTTCAAGCTCACCATCAACGATCTCCCAGGTTCAAACTCGCCGTCAACATGCCACTGTTGAAGATCTCCTTTCAGTGTCCACCGTCAACCGTGAGCAACTGTTGAAGTTCTCCATTCAGACTCCATCGTCCACCGTGAGCCAATACTGAAGCTCCTCGGCGACGACAACCGTGATCCCCTGTTCAATTTCCCCCATCCCCTGTTCAGTCTCCATCGTCCACCATAAAACACATTGCTATTCCTATCCGAAAATCAAGAAAAAGTAAAGATGTCTGAACCCAAAATAACATACATCCATCGACTAAGCAAGACAAAGAAACCATGGGATTTGGTCAAGCTCCCCCTCCTCCTCCTCCTCCTCTTCTTCTTCTTCTTCTTCTTCTTCTTCCAAATCAACCACCCCTCTTTTTGCTCCTCCTCCTCCTCCTCCTCCTCCTCCTCCTCCTTTTCCTTTTCTTTTTATTATTGATTGCAATATGGTGGTCCATTTTACAAATATGCCCCTACTTTGGTTCGGATGCACCCCTGCACTGCTTCGTTTTATAAGTCCACCCTGCTCTAATTCGTTTTATAGATCCACCCTACTTTGGTTCATTTTACAGATCCCCCCAGCTCTAGTGAGATAGAACTTAACCGGTATTCATGATAACCTCATATTTCCCACTGTAACACTAGATATTTTCATGCATTAGTGAGCCTAGAAAACTTGCTTTGTAATTTCTTGACTACTAACATTTTAGCCCATAAAGAATGATTTAAATAGCCATCTTATTGATTAAACATTTTTTCTAAGAAATCAGCTTGATGAGGAGAGAGCACTTTTAGAGATTCCCTTATGAAAAAGGCTTGTATTTGGGTCAAACCTTCCAAGACCAACAGGTGATGATGTTGATGAGGAGAGAGCACTTTTCCACCTTCATTATGGAATCTACTTAACACCCAATAGAGGGGGCAAACAACCCCCTCATATCAACAAAAATCCCACCTAACACCAATCTAATGATCAACATAATGATGGGCCCTATTGAATTAGTTAGGTTTCATGCGAGTGAGAAACACATGGATCTTTTGGGTGGGTGATGTGGAAGCTTCTTGGGCCATGAATTTAGTATTCGAATTCAGTTGTTTGGACTATTTGGAAGAAGACTAACCAAACAAAAACCTCATCTCCACTTTTCCTCTTACTATTCCCTCCTATTAGTATTAGAACAACCTAGAAAACTTTGATCTATGGTTACTTAAGTAAAATTCAACAAAGGAAAAGTATACATTAATAAGTCTTGTTTCAGATATCAAATCAAAAACCCAGGAATTCTTACAATACTTCATGCTATTCCAAAATAACAACAAAAACAAACTGAGGACAGAAATATAAAATGACTTATTCACCTCTTAACTTAACTACTTCTAGACACTTTGTTGATTTATGAACCTGGGAATAGAACAAAAGTTATAAAACTAAAAGAGTGTTCCATAAGAAAAAGAAAACAACTTTGATAAAGAAAAGATGAAGTTCCTTGATGAAATATCAAAACAAAAAACCCAAGAATTATTCTAATAATTCATGTACCTTTCAAAAAAAAAAAGAAAAAGAAAAAAGTGATGACTAAAATAGCAAATGACATTACCTTGGCTGGTTCTAAACAATTTGTTGATCTCTAAAGTTGAAAGTAGAACAAAAGTCATAAAGTTAATAGACTACTCCATAAACAAATCTATTCAAAGAAGAAATTTGAAAGAAAAAGCTGAAGTTTCTTGTTCAACAATGTCAAAAAAGACAAATGTTTTATGGTATAGGGTTGAGGCAGATATGTCAAGAAGATGGACTTCATTGTTCAGGAGAACATATACATGAAAATTTTGGTGCTGCACTTATGAGATTTGATCATAAGTTGAAAAATGAAGAATTTTTGAAAGAAAGAAAATTTGACCAGCTACTGAAACAGTGTAGGTTCTCTATCATCTTCTTAATCCCTATTATATCATCAATAAGAGTTACCCTTTTATCAAGTATCATGAGAAATGTTGTATGAGTATACACAGTGGAAAAACACCCCAAGTTTTGGGTCAGCTTCTACCTTTTTTTTTTCGGCTGATGGTTCTACCTTTTATTTATCTGCTCAGCCATTTTGGGTACTGAAATAAATTTCAAAAGGTTTTGCCATTTATTTTTTCTGGAATAATGTTCTTATAATCCATCATGCTTCAATTGAGAAAAGGAGATGTCAGATTGGCTTTATTCATTCCAATTGATGGTTATGGCACTCCTAATTGGCTGAGAGTTGGCTCCTAGCTGTGATGGACGGCACCTAAGAGGAAGAGGAAGGTGAAGGGTTCTCGGGGAGCTCTCCCGGAGGGAACACTCCGATGGCTAAGTTTGGACTCCGAGGAAAACTCAAAGAAGACGCAGAGAGTTAAGAATGCTGAAAGTGATAGCTTCAATACCTTTGCTTCATGAGGGTCGGGGTCCTTTTATACCGGAGCTCGGTCACATCAGGCATAACCACCACTACCCTAGCCGTTACTGCCAGGGCAAGGGTGGCAGGTGCAGGTTGCTGCTACAGGCTACTACTGCAGGGTACGGACTCGTCAGGCGTGCCATGCCTTTCAGAGACGGCAGGCAGAACGCCGCCTGACAAGGGATTCGAGCACTGCCACCAGATCCGACAAATACGGTTGTCAGGCAGGCACAGATGTCAGGAAGATCTCCCTGCAATCTGCCAAGCTACTGTGCACCGAACCACCTGGGGCAGGTTTGCCTTGCCCCAAGGTGCCGAGGTGCCGAGGTACACCGAGGTGCCGAGGTACACCGAGGTGCCGAGGTACACCGAGGTGCCCGCACTGGAGGTGTTGTACCGAGGTGTTTCTCCCTCGGGACACTTAGCCAAAAGTTGGGGTGCTTCCTTCTTAGGAAGGGAGAGCTCGGGTCCCTTTGTATGGGGGAGCTCGGGGTGCTCCACCCTCAGGTTCGGGGCGAGCTAGGCCTTGCATCTGGACGAGCTGTCACACTCGTCGAGTCGTTTGGCCGGGCCTCGGCGAGCTCGCTGCGCTGAGTAGTGGCCAGGCTGTCACGTTGAATTGCCACTTATGCCAGGTCAAGTCCACGTGTCCCGTGCTACGAGGTCGGGCCAAATCACCCTACATCACTTTTCCCCCACTCCTCGTGCTAGGGGTGTTGACCTAGCGCAGGGAGTCCGTAGTCTGCCGGGTGGATTTGGCTCGGAGTCCAAACTTTCTTGTCTGCCGGCTCATAGGTTGGACCAATTTTCTGCTCAGTTCTGCTAGGTGCAGCTCGGGTCGCGTACGGTCTACGCATGGACACATCCAAGTTATAAACCCAGCGGACATCAAAAATCGCGCTAAACCAATTTCGCCTCGAAGGTCGCACAGTCGATTTTCATGAGGACCGTCAGATCGTTTCGATCTCAACCGTTGATGCTCACTTATAGTGGCTATAAATAGCGGGGGTCCTCGCCTTTTTCCTTCACCACAAATCTTCAGTTGTAGTTTTGAGCTCGCGTCCAAAGCCTCCAGCTCGGGTTAGTTCTTCACAGTCCGGTCCATCTCTTTTCGGTGAGTTACCCTAGCTCTTCTTCGGTTTTGTTATGTCTTCCTTAGATAGCCAGTTAGATGAGCCCGAGGTGGGTACCTCGGCTCAGGGTAACCCTACCAGAGTCTAGTCCCCCGAGGTGCGGGTGGCCTCGGGTAACTTGGCGTTCACCTCTCACCGAGGTCGAATGTCGAACAGGTTCGGGCCTTCCACTATGACCCTGGAGAGGCTCCGTGAACTCATTAAACAGTACAACTTGCCCAGGGAGTACACCTACAGTATTCCTGTAGGTAACTTCCCATGGGAGCACGGCCCTGACGAGGTCGTAATCTTCCAGGAGCAGCTCATAGTCGGGCTGCGCCTTCCCTTCCATCTACTCATAGTGGAGGTCTTGAACCACTTCAATGTTACGATAGACCAACTTCACCCGAACTCGGTCCGTAACGTGGTCGGGACCATCTCCCTCTGCTACGAGTATGTCCTCCTCCTTAACTTGGACATATTCTGTTCTATCCTCACCATCAAGAAGAGTGCTTCATGCGTTCTCCCCGAGCATAGGAGGGCTTACTATTTGTCCCCTCGCCCGGGGTTCAAGTTGATGCATAAGCTTCCTAGCAAGATCCCGACCTGTAAGCAGGACTACTTTGTAGTCTAGAACCCTACGGGGTGGCCCTTCCCTACTCACTGGAGGGCGGCTATCCAAGACCCCGGCATCATCCTCGACACAAAGACCTAGGAGACATTCCAATCGTGGGCTGAGGTCGGTTGTAGTTTCAAGGACTTCATCACCGAGAGTATGCTTCCAGGCCGGCTTGAGTCTGGGTAGGTAGTTAGTACCTTAGTTGTCTGGCCTGCTCCTTTCTTTTACTCGAGTACTAATGTCGAGCTCTGTTGCAGGTCCCATGGAGGCAGACAAACTTAAGGGAGATTGGCTCTTCAAGCACATGAAGGGAAGGAAGAAGCAGGCTGCTAAGAGAGCCCGTATCGAGTCACCTCTAGCCCCCACTCCTGAGCCCAAGCTTCTGCCGGCTCCAACCTCCGAGCCCGAGCTCCCTGGGGCTCCTCCGATTATTGACTTGGAGGAGGAAATACCACCTAGGGAGCCTGAGACTTCGGCCGAGCTCGCTATGAGGGCGGCAGCTGAGCTAGAGGTCGCCACTGGGGCTGCTGACGTAGCAGCCGAAGTCTCCGCCGAGCCCATTCGTATAGCCGAGACGGCGGTCTCCAGCTCGGGGAGCCCGGATGGGGGCCGAAGTATCTTGGTCCCCCAGTGTGGCCTTCGAAAAAGAAAAGGGGCCGTTTACAACGAGGAAATCTCGGTCTGGGCTAATATGCTTAACCCTTCTCAGCTCGGGGCCCGGGCTACCACCCACACTATGGTGGTAAGTTCTCTTCTTTTCCTTTCCTTTTCTTTTATATATGTTTTTTTCTTCGGTACCAACTAACTTCCTTTGTCAGGCGAACTCCGTCGTGCACGCCCTTTCTCTTCAGTCCGAGAGGAACCTGAAGTGGGCTCTAACCGCCGATGAGTCTTCCCGCGCTGCCCATACCGATCTGCGGGCAGCTCGCGAGCAAATCCATCGGTTGGAGAGCGGCGCCAGGGGCCAGAGGGATATTATTATGACGCTAACGGTAGAGAGAGATAAGCTAGCACGCAAGAAGGACATGCTGAGGGGCGAGGTGGAGGCCCTCAAAGCAGAGCTGGCACACGAGAAGGGTGTGCTGAGGGGCGAGCTGGATGCCCTCAGGGTAGAGGCGGAAGGCCTTAAGGAGAATAAGAAGGCCCTCCTGCACGAGGTGGAGTTCCTCAAGGCGGACCTTGAAGAGGACCGAGATCTTCACTCAAGCGATAGAGGAGAC